TGGGCAGGGAAAGCCACATCTCCCGGCAGGCTAAGAAAAATTTATCGCGGGCGCTTTCGAGGTAGGCGAGACCGCTGCCCTTTGCCCCTCGCTCCACTTCCCCTCGGCTTGGGTTGAGCTGCAGTGGGCCCAGTGTCCGTTTCGTTCTGCGGTGGTAAGTGCTCGGAACTAATGGGAGGAGTTCGCGTAGTGATTTCTCGGGTTTTTGGCCTTTCCAGTCCCAGGCTTTTTGGGTGCGCACTCCTCTGGGGCGTGGGGATGTTTGTTGTTCCGCGCTTGTTGCAGAGCTGTGTGTGAGGGTCCCGTTTGCCAGCTACGGTGCCCCTCCCTCGTGGAGACAGTAGGCAGATTGGTGGGCGGGCAGGTGGGCTGCTCTGGTTGCCTGCGAGTCGCCTAAGGTTTGTAATCCCGAAATGATATGTTCTTCCTTCTGCCACTCATCTCTACGGGAACTAGCGAACCACCTTCAGTGTAGAAATTTTAATGAATAATATAGTTGCCCCGGATGCCATTCAAAATCATGGAGTGTTGAATCGTAATTCTAAGTGGGGGAAAAGTGGCTTTCCTTTTTTTATGTTTCATATTTTTCTGTTTCCTATTTCTGTCGTGTTGTGTTGCCTTGTTTTTCAGCCAGTAGAAGAACTATGATAAATTTATTCCCAGCCATGTGGTAACTTGGTGAGAATCATACGCTGTAGTCTTTAATCATGTATTATGCTGGTTTGTTCTGGTTTCCCTAGTAATTTCATCAAATAGACAGTGAGCTCCTTGGGAACAGAGATTGAATCATTGATTTCTTCTAGTAAGCCACAGCTCTGAGTATGTGCTGGTACACGGTAAGGGTTCAATTACTATTCTTTGGTTTATTAATGTTTCCTCTCCAAACTGTATTTACCATATAAAAGAAATCCTTAAGGAGGGAGTGATGTTTTACAAATCTGAATCCATTTCTTAAGCTGGAGTTGCAAGCAATGGCTGGCATTCCACTGCCCCTCGAATCTTACAGTGTAGACTACCACGCACGTTGTTTATATGGCAAGTAGGTAACTCTTAGAATGCCTTTTTTCTTGAGGTTGAATTAACCTCAGAGCCTAGGAAAAAGGATATTTCTGCTGATGAGAATTCAAGTATCATCATCAAAGTACTTTCTTTTAGGTGTAGAGTTACTGTGTTAAAGAACACTAGCAGTGATGAATTATTGCCTTTGGTTTGTATTCTTTGACAAAGAGCATAGCTGTATGTGTCTTGTATGAGATTAAACATGAAGCACAAAGATATGATAGTATTGATCTTCATTCACTTATTTAATGCTTTCTGTTAGGAGTCTCCATTTTTGTCTAAAGGTTAAAAAAGAAAAAAAAAAACCCAAACCCATTATCATCAAGTGGATTCTGACTCATAGTAACCCTATAGGTCACAGTAGAACTGGCCCAAAGTGCTTCCAAGGAGCAGCTGGTAGATTCAAACTGCCATCCTTTTGGTTAGCAGCCAGAGCACTTTACCACTATGCCACCAGGGCTTCTGTCTAAAAGTAAGGTATCATTAAAGAAACTTGATGAAATTTTCTTTTAAATAGAGTGTTTATTCAGCATATACAGAAATTACATCCATTTTTGTGAAATCTTTATTGAGTGAATTCTAAAGATCAAGAGATGTCTTTACTCATCAGTGTAGCTTTACCTTCTCATTTCTCTCCCCAGGTTCACTCACCTTTTCCCTCTATCATCGTTCTTCCCTTGCTAGCTAATATAGCAAAGTTATCGATAATTTTAAAAAGGAGTCAACCATATCCAAATTTTATCTTCTTTTTCAATAGATTTTTTGTCATTATTGATATAAACGACAATTTTGAAATATGAGAGAAACCTGGCAATTTGATAGTTGGCCATATGAACTTGATACCTTATTAAATAAAACTTACCTCCTCAAGCATTCATAACCTGCAATTTTCCGAAACATTTTTCCCATCAGACTCTTTGAAATTTTTTCTTTCAAATTTTTACCTTTGGGATCAGAGGAGAATGACTTATATTTTGTGATCAGTGTCATCAATAAGATGGT